TTAAAAAATTTCACATGGCCAAGTCTAACCAAGTTGAGTCATAGGGCAACAGTTAAAAACATTAATACAACATACACCAAGCATGGTCTTAATTTTCAAAAATGGCATCCAACGTCCAACAATAAATAATTCATTTAACTGGAAAAAAGGCTCACAAGTACGATGAATAAAGGGCATAAAAAGATGGATAAGTAAAATTGTGTCCCATCAAACTCAGAATCCAACTTAGCCATAAATCATCTTCAACTACTATTGTAATTGGATTTCCGTGAAGCAATGACATTTAAAAGGGTTTCACAAATACTAGCAGAAAAATGAAGATGAAGCACAAGTGAATGTTGCATGAATTCATCTAGACGGTAAAGGAGAAAAGATATCCATTTATCAGCGACAATGCGGATGGAACACACAACTGCAGTTGAAATGCAGAAGTATAAAATGATGTATCATCCTTTCTTTGTCATTCAAAATAGTGAAGGCAATTTGAGCATTATACTTACAGTGTGAAATGGTACATTATCTTTTCCCATGAACTGAAATAGCTCCACATTTTCAGGATTTTTCCACCATTTCTCCCAATCAGGAGTGTAGCATGAAGCAATTGAGACATATCCAATAGGTGCATCAAACCAGACATAGAAAACCTATCACCTCAAGGTTTAATTATAGACTGAACATAAATAAGTTCCAAACTTACTTTTAATAACAAGAAGCACTAAAAGTACCATCATTTATTGAAACTTTATCTTACCTTGTCCTTAAAATTCTCATGTGGTACAGGAACTCCCCACTTCAAATCTCTAGTAATACATCGTGCCTTAAGTCCTTCAGTAAGCCAGGCCTGTGTTGTATTAATAGCATTTTGGCTCCAAGAACCATCAACTGACATTTTGTTGATGTACTCAACTAATTTATCCTTTAACAATGGCAGTTCAAGAAACAAGTGCCTTGTGTCACGAATACGAGGAGTATTTTGGCATGCCTGTAATCAAAGCCCAAATATCAACATCATCAGTTGCAATAATTTTTATTTCTTCACAAATCTCTTATCAAACTTCATGATTAAAGGGGGAAAAAAAAGATACAATATGATAGCACTTAAATTTTGATATTTCATTTGCTAGCCTCATCAAACAACAATCAAGCTCAGCAACAGGCTATATGCACATCTCCAGAAATAATATCTCTTCCATAATTAGAAAAGCAATACTCATTACAATGCCTTGAGCAGAAAAAAAAAAAAAAAAAAAAGAGTCCCAATTATTGATAAATGATAAAAAAAAGTCAATTTAGTTATTAATCTAACTGTACCTTGCACCTAGGATCTTTTAGTTCAGTAGGATTCAAAAGCTTTCCACACTTTTCACATTGATCTCCCCGAGCAGAATCATAGTTACACCCTTCATTTGGACAGCTGCCTTCCACAAGTCGATCAGCTAGGAACCGTTGGCACGTGTCGCAGAAAAGCTAGATGCCAAGAGGAATTCAAGTCAAAAAAGACAAACTGAAAAACAGAATATTTAGCACAGCAATGAACTTTAGCTCCACTTATTGATACTTTATCAATTTGCTTATCTCACCCCCAAAGAAAAACAAAGACATTACACACAAACCTAAAATAGATTTTTTTTTAATAAAAAAATCACTTTTAACGGATAGTCAAAATTATTATTTTACTTCAATGTGCATTTATCATGTTTTGTCCCCTTTTTTTTTCCCTTGATCATTCCACCTAAAACAAGACTTTATATTTTGTTACATTTGTTTACACTAGGCACAAACATCTAACTAGGCTAGTAACAAAGAAAACTAGCAACAAAACAAAGTCTAAGGCTACTAATTTTTTCACTTCTAGAAGGAAGAAATTTGCAAAAAGTGTGCAAACAATATTTTCAAGAATTAAAATTAAAACCTTTATTTTGTAACAAGATACATGATTTTACTTTTCCATGAAGCATTTACGTTTGAATTAATATTATATTTTAACCGTCGGCTTATTTTCAATCAATTATGATTTGATTTCCACATTTGCTTCTGCTTTACACAATTACAATATCAACTTGTGAAGAACAACAAAAAAAAGTTAAAAATACAACACACAAAAAGAAGACTTTCACGAAATATAGCCTACATACCTGTTGCATTTATGTTTGAATTAATATTATATTTTAACTGTCAGCTTATTTTCAATCGATTATGATTTGCTTTCCAGATTTGCTTCTGCTTTATACAATTACACTATCAACTTTTGAAGAATAACAAAAAACCAAGTAAAAATACAACACACAAAAAGAAGACTTTTGCAAAATATAGCCTACATACCTGTGCATTTATATTTTAACTGTCGGCTTATTTTATTTTCAATACACAGTTACAATTATATTTTAACTTTCAGCTTATTTTCAATCAATTATGATTTGCTTTCCACATTTGCTTCTGCTTTATACAATTACACTATCAACTTTTGAAGAATAACAAAAAAAACCAGGAAAAAATACAACACACAAAAAGAAGACTTTTGCGAAATATAGCCTACATACCTGTTCATTTATGTTAGAATTAATATTATATTTTAACTTTCGACTTATTTTCAATCAATTATGATTAGATTTCCACATTTGCTTCTGCTTTATACAATTACACTATCAACTTGTGAAGAATAACAAAAAAACCAAGTAAAAATATGACACACAAATGAAGTCTTTCGCAAAATAAAGCCTACATACCTGTTGCATTGGTTTCTCCGAAAGCCAATTGTTCTCCCATAGCTTCTTGAAAATTGCTTGGCAAACTTCAGTTTGTTCTGGAGTCGATGTTCTTCCAAATTTATCAAAACTTATATCGAACCAATCATAAACTTCCTTATGAAGCACATGATACCTAAAAAATAAAATCAATTCATAAACTGAAACAAACAACCAAATAAAAAAGCAGATTTTCACAATAAATTTTCATAAAAAAACGAATTACTTGTCACAGATCTCTTGAGGAGTACAGTTCTCTTCTATGGCTTTAGTCTCCGTCGTCGTTCCGTACTCATCGGTTCCGCAAATGTATATTGCATTGTACCCTCGCAACCGGCAATAGCGAGCGAAAACATCGGCGCTTAAGACAGCTTTAACAGAAAAAAAAAAAAAAAAAGAGCTTCAAAATCATCACAAACGCGAAAAGAAGAAAATGAAATCTAGAAATGGAGACGAAGGTTTGAACATACAGCCTATGATGTTGCCGAGATGCGGAACGTTGTTGACGTACGGTAACGCGCTGGTGATGAGGATGTTGCGTTTCCCTGGGACTGGTAGCTTCGGAGCCGTCTGACTTGGGTCTCCCATTGGCTTTGATTGGTCTATTTCGCTACTGCCGTTGCGCTTGGAATTGAAGTCCGAGCTTTTTCTACTTCGCGTTTTACGTTCAGCGTTTGGCGTTTTGCGACTGGAAACGTTTCAGAAAGGAAAGTATGGGAGCAGAGAGAGGCAGTGGGACGACTTTTGCCACCAGATTTTAATTCTGGGGAGAATGAAGGGTGACTGGAGATTAGAATCAGGTAGTTGAGGTGCACGCAAAGAAAGACTAAGGTTGACCAGAAAAGGTCAAGTATACGTGGCGATATGTGATTGGGTATGTTTCTATTGCCTTTTTCCCGAATATTTTGACGTATGAATTAAAATTTGGTCAAGAAGATTTTTTTGTTGTACCAAAATATACAAAAATTTATTGATATCAAATTTTTTTTAGTAAGGTTATACATTAATTTAATTTTTTATCCTAGTGATTTTATGAACACATGTGTACATTTATTTTGTACATTCAAATTTTTACTTATGAATAATTTAGGAAAAATTATTTATGAAATATTCCCTTAAAAATTAAATTTTATTAAATTAATTTTTGTGATTAAACCCGTATTTATATCATCATATGAATTTTTGTTAAAAATTAACAAAATAACAATTGATCCATCAGATTAATTTAATAAATAAAAAATCGATCTGAATTGAATTAAAAAATTTAATATTTGATTTAAATCGTTTCAAATCAAATATTATGATTTAAGATTAACTTATTTTTTTTAATCTTAAAAATGATATAAATTTCGATGTATTAATATATCATAAGTGTCTTTTACGTTTAATTCAACCGAATATGTTGAAATTATAAACATCAAATGTATTATTAGAAAATATTTTATATGGGGTGATTTATTTAAAAATTATAGTAATTTGTACTCAATAATTATATTATTTTATTTGATAATAATTTAAAATTTTTATATTTTGATGATCTTAAATCATTACGGTGATAAAATCAATATCTTGAAAAATGATTTGATTTTCAACTTAAACAATGGAAATGTTTTATAACTATAACAAAATAATTTTCAATATTATTTTTTGATTAATTTACCTTTATCAAAAATATAGTTAGCATCATCTCAAAAAATTGGCTACTAAAATTTTTTAAAAAAATCGATTTTTTAATCACTTATTCTAAAAAAAGTTTTTTGTTATCAATTTATATGGATTAGAAAAAATATAATGAATTTATTTAATAATTTTTTTAGAATTTATTTTTATCAAAATTGATTTATACTGTGTAATTTTTTATAAAATAACATTTAATTATTTTATAAATTATTGATTCAATAAATATTAAATATTTTACTTTTTTATAAAGTTATTTTGGATATTTTATATTATATAATTTATTTTTTATATAATATTAAATTATTTAAAAAGACCAATAATTTATAATATTGTATCCAATATAGTAATCTAAGATTAAAGGTAATCAAATCAACTTAGTGATCTTATCATCATGATAATTAAATCATTGTGACAATTTTAAAAATATACCAAATGCTACCTTAAATGTATTTTTTCCCAATAAATAACATGTATATTTTTAACTAATAATATTAACTGTGAAAATAATAATACGGTATCTTTCTTTTCTTTGTAAAAGAATAAATGAACTTTCATTAATCAACTTGGCAAGATTCAAATGCTAGCACAACTCAGCGTGCAACTCAGGCTAAACCAATTAACAAGCATTTGAGGCTTGAGCAATGAGCACAATGGCAATAGCTAATAAAAATATCAGTCACTTGCACAAAAGAATATTGGCTGTTTCTTCCCTTTAAGCTTCACATTACCTTGCTTTTGTGCTCAACAATGTATCTCATTTGATAGATTTTAATCCTTGCATGAAGCTTGATACTTTTGGCTTTATCAAAGTCTGCAAAGTCAAGTGGCTGTCCCAATCTACAGCATGTTTAAAGCATTTGGTTGGTTCCAACAAGATTGGAATGTTCTCATCCATGGTAAGAACTTAGCATAATATGACAGAATTTATCCTATCAAAAAGTTGCAGAGAAGTTGAGGAGAATAATATGGCAGCTGGACCTCAGTATAGCAGCCCGATAACATCACCACTGCCAACAGTTACGCGGTCTGTTAGTAAAATATTGGACTCTTAGTTTCAGTGATAACAGTCTCAAATACCCCCCCAAAAAAAAAAATCGCCACCAACTTTGCTACATGTATACTTCAATCTTTTCTTCTGTACAATAATAGTTGAATACTTTCACCTTGCTATTAATATATGCAGATAACTTTAGTAATGGTGGTAGAATTGTATCTACATCAGATAGAAACTGGCCATTGTAGATCAGTTTGGAACTTATCTAGCTACATTTGGCAAAAACGTTAGAGTGCTCTAGGAAAGGAAATTTCCCATTCTTCTATTGTATTCAAAAAAAGGGTTGAGACAAGAATTTTTATTGGAATAAGGAATGTAGACTACCATCTGATGCTCTAACAGCAGCTTCTAGAGGCTTGCTTTGGATAATATTTTTAAAGCATTGGCAATGTCATCTGCTGTTCCTCCACCTTTAACACTGGTGATCAAGGGGCTATTGACAGGGACAATATCATCTCTCATGTCAGTTCTTCTGAGCAATCCTTCAGAACCTTTAGTCACTACTTCTTTCATGATCAAAGTCTTATGTGCCCCGGATATCAATTCTTCATAATCAGAGTCTCCATTTTCGCCAGCAATGACAAACATGTTTGCAACATTCAGTCTCCAACGCACAAAAAGGTACCTGATTACCAGAAGCAACAGGTTAATCAAATGAATAAATTACAATCCTTATTCTTGCTAGCTTCGAGCATGCTATTCATGCAATTGTCTTGAGATTGACATGGAAATCATTGTGCCTGTTACAGATGTCCAGATTTATCTTTGCTTGTTTATACACAGTCTTCCAAATGAGGATCTTATAAGATATGAATGTTACCATTCCTCCATGTATAAAAAAGATGACATTGATGACAGGCAAGAAACTAATTAAAAAGTTCTTTAAAAAAAAAGATACCAAGCCTTTAGTCCTATGCTTTTGGTCCATGAAACACTCACAAAAACCGTTATTACTCAAAGTTGTTATCTAAAGACTCCCCTATCAAAATCCCGGGATGACATAAAAAGCAGCAAGCCCAAATCTTTCCTTCCAAATGATATTAAGTGGAAAAAAGGGTGGAAGCACAAAAACACTACCTCAAAAAATGGCTAACAGAAGGATCTTTAAAGCATTTAAACATGAAGGGTGTTTCATTTCCTGCCTAAGAATCAAGGTTTCTTAATAAAAAGTAACAATTCGCTTAACTTTACAGAACAGTACCTGAGTGCCTGTACTCGGGATGCAAGGAGAGGAACAACTTGCAGTCTAGTTGAGTTCCTGCAATACATTGGATGGCAACGGATACCTCGCATCCTAAGCTTCTGCCTCAAATCATCCACTCTCTTAGCCTGTAAAAGCAAGCCAGCATAAAATCCAAATAAGAAATGCAATTACTTATTTTGTTACCAATAGTCAAATTGATATATCTACCTTACTCAGATCCTTTACAAAGTATGCAACACAGTGGGCGTTGCTCGATGTCACATCTTCCTCAATGGGGCTAGCAGAACATGTGGATTTTTCTTCTCCTTCAGGGTTCATCAACTTCCAAATTGTCTTCTTTAGACCCTCATAGCCCCATCGGTAGGCAATATGAGATGCATAATCAGGATCTGGAAAAAGCTTTCCATCCTCTTCTGTGTAAGTTCCAGGGTAATAAACTTCACTGCCACTGCTACAGATCAGAGCATCAAAATCATTTACTTGAATCTTTGCTGATTTCAAAAACTCAATTGTTTCTGAGACTGGCATAGCTGTTAACATAGCAAATCCTGTGACTCTTGCAGTTTGAGTGTCCAGCCGAACAGCCTTAAGTATTTCTTGTACAATTTGAGCCATCTTCTTCTCAGGGACCCCCTGGCTGTCATAGCAGTCAAGTGTTACAACAATCAATCTACGCCGCCTCCTCAAAATTGGATACTTGTTTGCCACATTTTCAAGCTTCCCTTCTTCAGAGTCTTTTGAGTTTGTTTCTGGCTTTTTCATCTTGCTTAGGACTCTTTTCACTTGGTCTTGCAGCTCAGGGTCACCAGAAGATGCAGCTGAAGGGTCCAGGAATCCATTCAGTGAAGATTTGTCTCCATCAACCGAGAGCCTAAGGGACATGTCATGCACGTCTTTAAGTGAGTCATTTAAAGATGATTCTTCAGCAGCAATGTCATCTCCCGGTGTATCTGTTTGCCACTGAGGATGTCTCATTCGACAAGCCGCCACCCTGGTCAAGTAAGTACGGCAGTGTTCGGGCCATGAGTATAGGTGTATATTCTTCCAACCATTCTTTCTGCATTCATGCCATAAGTTTTTCTCTGATACCAACTTAAGCAGGGCATCAGCAATTGCTTGTTGGTCATGGGGGTCCACAAGAAGGCCATTATTTAGTGCCTAAATTTCATAAAAAGAAATATCAAGAATTAGAACCATTATAACATTTGTATAAGTCAACATATAGACAGAAAGCAAGGAGATCTTCCGAATTTATAATAACATTTTCATCAAATGGTTGCCACTCAACCTTCCAGGTCAATGTTAATACTTGAAGCTCTGGAAAGTCTACATTGCAATATCTTATGATCAGGAGATATATTCATTGTTCTTACCTGTTGGATGTCAACTGGTCCGCCATTTTTTGTTGCCACCATTGGAAGTCCATGAGCTGCTGCCTACATTATATCAAATACATAGATATTAAAATTTTGTTTCATTGCGCTTAAAAGATGGCATCTAGGCAAATCCCAATCACTAGGAACCAACCTCTATTAAGGTAAGTCCGAAAGGCTCAACCAGAGCAGGATTGATGAAAACTCCCTGCCATATTGACATCCAGTTGGTTAATTATAAAAGCAAAAGCACATAAAGCTAGCTGCAACAATTATGAACTCGAATTAACCTTTGTGTTTGCTGCAAGTCGATAAATATCTGGAACATCAGATTGTTTGTGATGCTTTGGATAGGCCACCAGCCCATAGAGATCATACTTATCAATGAGTTTCAATACTGTTATGAGCACACTAGCATTCCCACTAGACATTTCATCAATATCATCCCTGTTCCCCATTATAAGTGTCTGCGCAAAAGGCAATTAGCATTATTATTCTTTCTTCTTCGTTGTAAATCAAAATTGTTGCACAAACCAACTTACAAGATTAGCAAGTTCTCGTAAAGGACGACACTCTCCAAAGGCTTTCAAAAGAGTGGTTATGTTCTTCTTTGGATCAGGTCTAGATAAGGCCAAGATCATAGGCTTGTGGGGATTTGTAAGAAACCGCATGACCTGCCAAAAATGTTAGAAAGAATCAATAACAACTATATTGGGACTTCTGAACAATGAATGTAAAACATAGATGACACACTTACCTCTGACCATATTTCAGGAATTGCCTTCGGAGATGACCCATTAGTACCACCAATAAGTGTGGTTAGTTCTCCATCAACCTCAGGGGCATCTTCTTGAACTACAACACTGCTGAAGTCCATGCCAGGAGGAATAACCTGCAAATAAATTTTACTTCATAGCTAAAAGAATAGGAGCAAACAATATGATTCAAATATTTTCCTATTTATCTTTTCAAACTTATCACAAAACATGAATTCATTCAAGTAGCCCCTAACTAATTTGATCCTTACGTTATTCCACATAGAAAATCAACTTGTATGTAGAAGAGTTAACAATATGTCTCAACACAGGAGGAATAATATGAAGCATATAAAGACTTGGCAATTCAAAATATGGCATGATGACACAACATGAAAACAATACGAAAAAAGACACAATGTGACATGGTTTAAAATATGTTTCAGATTAAGAAGCAAGGACAAATATACTTCTTTCTTAATTCTCTTCACCTTATCTCTAACACCCATGACTAAGAAGAATAATTCAATAAAACAGCTCCAAATAGGGGAAAAGAGAGAGAGGAAAAAGAGAGAAACATACTTACCACCATCCTTGGCATATATCGACCATGACAGTTTACCCCACGTCTAGCACGTGCACGTAAAACTTTTTCAAGCTTCACATCAAACCCATCATAAAGTCCCCATTGCTCTTCAATCTCCTGCTTGGTACTAGTGATTACTAGTTCTGCAGCATCAAGAGAAAGTTCTTCTCCTTCAATTCTTCTCATAATCTTGTATGTTGAATTGATATCTTCCTTTGACTGTCGTCCCTGTTTAAGCAGCTGCTCAAGCTTGTTTCTCCCAAGAGAGTGTCCTGTTAAAACCATTGGAACATTTAAAGCACCTGAAAGAAGAGCAGCACTGTCTCCTGCATCAGCATAATGGCCATGGATAACATATGGCCACACGGGTTGGCCCCCACCAATTTGTTCACCTAGAACTTTTGACATATTTAGAATATGAGCAAGAGCACCATCGACAAATTCCTGAATATATGGCCATAGTAATTCTTTACGAAGGTACTGATCACGCGGACCAAAAGGAATCCTTATAATGTATGCACCACCACTCTCTCCAACATCATTGCCATCTGCATCTTCAACAGCAGTCGTTAGCATTTCTGTAGGCTCACCATAGCTCCAATCAACATCAGGTGATGAGATTTGTCGAGTAAAAAGATCTACTCTGTACACTCCCGGCATCTTTGCAAGAGCCCTAGAAAGCTCTACTACATATTTGACCTAAGGAGTATTTTATATCATAAAAACAGAAAATAAATGAAATGAGGAAAAAAATGTGAGCAACAACTTTGTTGAGGTAGAATACAGCATTTACCTGTCCACCAGTGTCAGAATCTCGGCCAAGCTCCATGTTATCCCCTCGGACTAAACCATGCAAACTGTTTAGAAAAAAGAAATGCTTAAATTAATATACAAATTTTAATATGAGTTCAAGCATGTTAGGGAGACTGATACCTGATAAGTACAATGTAAAGTTTTTTTTCCATCTTGTCATCTGACCACACTTCCAAGTTGGAAAAGTTTCGCTGGAATGTTTTCCTTGGGGTCTCAGGTTGCATCATCTCACCAAGAGCATCTCCCTTCTCTCCTTCTGACAAGTCTTCGGACAAGTCCTCCGCTTCATCCCTGCGCACTTGTTCCCGTTCCCATCTCCGTTTCGCCATTCTTTGCAGTTCTTCCCATTCCAACTATTTACATTATAAGAAGAGATGGAAATGATGTAAACGAAAACTTTACTAATAACTCATCACTTTTTATCGAAAAATAGTATCAAAGAAAGCTTAATTTAACTTTTGTTATAAACATAAATTGTGTTCTAAAACATGAATTATGACAGAAATAGAAAAACTCGAACTGCAAGAAATTGAAAGATTCAAAGCACTGTTTTCTTCATATTATATGGATTGCCTCGCAAGGACTTACATGTAGATTTACGAATCGTTCATTAAAGAACTCGAATCTAAGCCTCAGAAAAGGATTCGATCCTTATTAATTCATCCATACTTTGGCCATTTCAAATATTTATTTATACATATACTGTTTCCTTCAGGAACCACGAAGGCCAAATGTACTATGTCCTTGAACACTTGAATTTGAAAACTAAGAAATGATTGCCAAAATGCCATCAGTTTTATCAAAATTTCAATTAACCCAATTTCACATATACATAGACAAGCTCATAGTTTACATATGATGGATGTATAAATGCATAATAGAAATACAAAAATACAGGAGTGTAAGATAGAGGAGGACCTGTTTCTTTTTACGGGTAAGGTGCCAAATGCGCCAGCACATGTTCTCTAGCCTGGAACTACGTTCCCTGGTATTCCGGGTGGCAACAACTTTGATCCATGTCCTATGTAAATCAGTCTCATCCACACCTGTCACCACCTCTTCAACGAAGTACTTTGTTGGATTGAAATGACCTCTGTCTCTCAAATTCACGGTTGCTGGCTTTTGCTCCTCGATGGCTGCTGCTCCACTGTCTAATATTGCTTCCAAGTACCCGTTTATCCACTCGTTCCCTGCCATTCTTTTCCTTCACTTTCTCCAGAAAGAAGGGAACTTTTGTTTTTCTACAGCTTTCTTGGATCCTCTTGAGCTAAGAAAACAAGGGTTTTTTTTTTTTTTTTTTTTGTGCTTTCCAGTATCAAAGGAGTAAAAGGAAAACTTAACAACAGAACATGAAGATTTTCTTTTGTTTCAGGCTCAAGGAAAGGGTTTTTTTTTTTTTTTCTTTAACTTAAAACTAAAAAACAAAGGAAAAAAATGCAAAATTTTGCATTTGCAGCTGAATTAAAAACACTAGCAAAGCACATATATAATCTTGGAAAAGAAAAAGGAAATACTTAAAAGGTGTTTTGTCTTAGTTTTTACATTAAAATGCAAATGAAAATGTGGAAAGGGTCTTATGAGAGAAGGAAATGAGAGGAACCATTCTTTAACCAAGAGAGAAGTGAAGGAGGGAAGGAAGAGAAGAGAAGGGAGGAGGGGTAAGGGGAAATGAAAACATGGCAGAGAATGGTGTGGATCAAGTGATAGTGACAAGATTTTGCATGGTCTTCTTCCACAGTCGTGATGCAAGGTGTCTGGGTGGGATTTGTTTTGTTTTTTCACGTTTCCAAGGATTTTGTCCGCTTCCCAATGCGAGGTTTGCTGCTCTTTTCCCTTCGAAACTCCGGAGTAGTTGAGGAATGCCAGGGGCAGACGTATTTACCATTTCCCTCCAAGCTCTGCAACAAGCCACGTCATCTCATCTTTTCATCTCAAAACTGGGAACCCAAATCTTCTTTGATGCGGTAAGCCTCGTTCCCAAGTGGCCAAGTCCCATTCAAGCAATCTATATGATCAAAACGTCCCCCTTGCTATTACATTGGCGATTTCTAATAGACTTACTAATTTAAAAGATAACACGACTGATATATGTATAGAAATATACGAAAATGAAATAATTTAAAATTTTAATAAAAATTATAAATAAATTTAATAAAATTATAAAAATATATTTTTATATTTTTATATCGATATAAATTATAATACGTAATTTTTATATAAAATATGAATGAATATATAACTATTAATATTTTATATAATATAAATTATTAAATTTATTTTAAAAAATAAAAATGCTGTCATTGTTTTCTCAATTAGTGTTTCTTTTCATTTTTGTCTTATGAATCCCTATAATATTATAAATATAATTAAAATAAGTAACTTTATGAATGTACCATATAATATAAATGTTTATGGACTAAGAGACTCAGTTGACACTTTAAATATTTAAGCTTTTATTTACACTTTGATTCAATCCAACTATTTATTTTATATTTTATTATTAAAATATTAGTATAAAAATATTTTTAAATATATTTTATAATTAAAATTAAATAATATATTATTATTATTATAGTAATATCTTCAAATCAAATTTTGAATTGAATTTTAAAATCCATACTTAAAGTTCTCAAATTTTAATTAATATAAACATATAAATTTATATTTGATACATTATTAATGTATAAATTTATATATGATCAATAAATTACATATTATTATTTTATTAATAAATATATATCAATTTTTAAAATAAAATTTAAAAAAATTATTATTAATAAAATGGTATTATTAGATTTATCATCTGTATATATTAATTTTAGAAAAAGAAACCTCATTGTTATGAATGTGATGGCACTTTGAAAAAAAAAAAAAAGATTGGAATTTGATTGGCAGATTCTACTTGTTGGATTTTGATTGTTGACCCATACATCTTCTGTTTAATAATCAATGCCAAGGTTCATGCATGTATCAATATCATGGGATTGATTGCGACAAAAGTTATAATCCCAATGACTACTCAAAAGGACACCGAAAAAAGGTATAATATTTTTATTTTTATATTTTTCCCTTATAACAAAAAGCATCAATGGATTTTTTTCAAATTAGGCATATTTTCCTCTCTACATAGGTTGATAGCTTACATGTTTGAATGAGAATTTTGATAACATTTCCTTTTTGTGTTCTTTGGAATGAAACATTTCATCTGATTCTTTTAATTTTATTATCAATTATTTTAAGTTAGATGTTCATATTAAAATTTAACGGCTCGAATATTCATATTACTTGCAATTATATACTTCTTTCATCCTATATTGTTTATTATGTATTGATTTGTGTAGAATTAAAAAAAATAATTTTAATATATTTAATATTAAAATTTAATTTTTTTTATAAAATTAACGTTTCATGATTTTTAATATTAAAAAGTAAAAAAATTAAAATATAATTTTAAAATATAAATAAGTAAAAATAATTTTAAAATATAAAAAAGTAAGTTTTAGTTGATCAAAAAAGAAAATATGACATAATTTTAAGATATCCTAAAAAAAAAAGATAGATAAAGAAAATGGGATAGAGAAAGTATATACTTTCTGGTCAAAGTATCAAATAATATATGATCAAATATTTTTTGAATCTATGTATGAAATGGAACCAATATCACAAAATTATAAAAAAAAAAAAGAAAAAAATCATAAATATTTTTTTGAATATCATGATCAGAGTCACATGACATGCAATGCATTTAGCCAACCAAAACTTAAACAAGAGACTGTCAAATCATGTGAAAGTTGATCATCTTTTTCTATTAAAAGCCAATGTCTTTCCATTACATAGCAAAGGGTGACAATTCATGTTACTAAAAGTTTTATCCATGTCTACTATCCAATTGCTATAATTTTAATTTTGTTTCTTATCTTTGTATATGAAAAAGACCTATTCTTTTGTAGTCTATTAAACAAATTTTATTTTATTTTTATAAAACAAAGCTTGAAAATATGAAAAAAAAATTATAAATGTTGAGATTTGAATTTTAAATTTGTTGGAATGTTACATCTTAAAAATATCTACGTGAACCAACTAAGTTAAATATAAAATTTTATTTGATTATAAGTTTATTTTGCCAATGTAATCAATTATGTATATGGGTAAGTTTGTTAAAGTGTTGGTTTATTCAAAAGTAGATTTGTCAATTTAAAATACAATATGAATATGATATTAAAATATGATACGAAAGTAATACGATTTAAAATTTTAATAATAACATTATATGAACTTAACAAAACTAAAAAATATATTTTATATTTTTGTGTTGACACAAATTGTAACATACAATTTTCGTATAAAACATGATATAAATACATAAATTTTAATATTTTATATAACATAAATATATGAATCATCAAATCTATTAAAAAGCAATTCAAGGTCAAAAGAGTATTTTTCTAACTTTTTTTTTTATTTTGGATAAAAAAAAAGATTGTAAACATTTAAAGTTGGAAGAGCAAAACATGTGAATGTTAATAATATGATTAATTCCTTTTTTTTTTTCTCTATTTGAATTATGCAAAAGTTTATGGCAATAGAAAGAGACATCATCATCTCATGTCTTCTATTTTGCCTTAATAAATGAAGCCTATTTCACACAAGTTCCTTTCCAAATGTTATCATTTTTGTATTATTTCTTAGAATTGAGAGTACTAAAACAATTTTCATTATTTTTCTTTGTTGAGTTCAATGTATCCATTGTACTCCTCAGCTTGCTTCCAAAAAAAAAAAAAAAAACAATTGGGATTGCAAGTCATGACAAAGGTTTATTTATGCCTTGTGTCATTTTCAATTTTAAGCATAATTTATTTAAATTTAGTAAGATTTAAATTTTGATCACCGAAATTAAAAGTTTAATATTTTACTGATCTTATAGGATTTTTGAATAAGCATCACTTAATTTTATGACACTTTCAATTTGTTATAAAAAAGGATAAAAAAATTTGCCTCTCCTAAGTGATGAATTATTCAAAAGTAGGGCAGCCATGTTAGTGTATTATTTTTTTATAAAATAAATTTTATTTTTTAATTAGTAAATGCAATAGTATTTATTCTATAAAAAAAGAATGCACTAAAAAAATACAGAAATAAATCGATAAAATCACATAATTCTAGGTTTAAAATGAACTAAGAAAAAAATATATATGACATATCTCGTATCGTAACAATAGATCATATAAATAATAAAATTAAAATAATATCAATTTATAATGTTAAGATTTTTTAATGAAATTATAAGTATAGGTTATAATCATAAACAAATATTACGTAACTGAATGATCAAACAAACAAATCAATTAATAAATTAAAATATAAAAAAATAAATTCAACATAAATTAAAACAAATTTATACACAATAATACTTAAATTTAGAACACATGATTCTAAAATCTCTTCTTTACCACTAAATTAAAGTTTCATTGGTACAATATTAAATTTTTAAAAGATCATAAAATGGAATCAATAAATTTAAAAATAATATATAATTTACTGTTACTTTCGTATTCTTTCAATAAATTAAGGAGAAATTTCTGAACTCTTTTTGCATGTTATCACTATCTCATTTTAATTGAAAAAAATTAATGATACTTAATTTGTTAAATGCTATAATTTTTATTAAAATTAAAAAAATTAACATATATATATATATATATATACACGCGCGCGCGCGGGCGCCAGACTTTAAAAATTTTTGGGGCACCATGGCCCCTTCTAACAAGCCATGCGCCGGGAGAAGTGAAAAATATGACTACCATTGTGGTTGGTGAGAGAAGCCATTATAAGGTAGATTTGAAATTTTTAAATATATAATATAATATAAAAATAATGTGAAAAATGATATGATTATAATATGATTTAAAATTTTAATATAAATTATAAATAAGTTTGATATATTAATATAAATTATAATATAATTTTTATATCTTATATCTATTTAATATAAAATAAATATAATATAAATATATAAATCATATCAAGCATGTAATGGTTACTTTGTCTAATTTATTTATTCATGAATTTTATAGTATAATTAAGATAGTATTTTTGAATTTTATCGATAATCGTTTGTTAAAATCATATATAATTTATGATAATTTATTTTAAATTATTAAATATAATATATTTTATCATGATTTAAGAAATTGAACAATTTATTTAAAAAAAAAATTAGATAGCATGTTTGTCCGGAAAGTAACGGTACTATTGACAGACAAACATGCCATGTAAAAAATTTTATATGGAATTTTATGTTAGAGCCTAATTTGTTCATTTAAGATAAATAAAAAAAATTATAATATATAAAATTATAAAATAATCTCTCGTGGAAGAATAATGAAAAAAGTTTGTAGATAGAATTGATTGATTTTAAGAGGAGTAAATTCAAATTGTTTAAAATTAAAGATATTATTAAATGTTGTTTCAATATCATTGAGATATGATCTAAAAGTTTTTTTTTTTTTATAAATTTTATTATTGTTACATAATCTTGAATTTTTATAAAGTTTATTAATTATATTAAAATTAAATTCACTTTATACATAATTATGTAACTGTGCATTATAAAGTTTTAAAACTATTTGATTTTAAATCATATGCATTTTCAAGATAATTTTAACTTAATAATATTATTTATAATTTAAATTTTAACGGTATTTATTTAACTCCATATTTTTACGAAAAATATTTATTTAAATATATATATATATAAATTTATTAAAATTTATTCAAAATTTACATACTTGATTTATGTAACCAAATTTTTTAATTTTTTAATATTTTTAATAAAAATTTACAAATTTTACTTAGAAACTTCGTCTAAATCTTTTCTTCGGTCAGATTGACTATTGGTGAAAGGTCTGCTTCCCTATTATGTATCTACTGGAAGACCCCTAAGGCATCTCCCTTCAAAACAATCTGGCTAAATCCTCTATCAGCTGCAAATTCTAAAGCCCTGCTTGCTTCTAATGCCTCTAATATTTGCTGGATCCACATAGCTATTAACTCTCATAGATAAATTCTCCACGAACAGCCCTTGTTCTGTCCCGAATTACAATCCCGATTCCTCCTACCACCTCTCGACTATTTAGCGCCATCTAAGTTTATTTTCACATGGTTTCCTATAGGCCTTTTCCATTTCATCTTCTCTGTGTTGTTCCTTTTTACCGTCTCCCCTTGACACTGGTGATATTCCTCCAAGTATGCCTTTCCAGAGGAAGCTATCATTTGACTGCTTTTATGCACACTGTTTTTTACCACCTCATTACGGCTTATTCCAGATAGCCCAACAAATTATCACCCCCTCTTCGAAAGTTTTGTTATCAACAGACCACACCGTGAATCCAGGTCCTAACATCCTGTAGATTGTCTCCCTCTCAGTCTTTCTTTTGCTTTGCACTTTTCCGTACTTCTGCTGGAAATATGCAATCCTTTATTGCATGCAAGGAGGATTCGTCTTCTTGCTTGCAGCGTGGAGAAGTAGCTTGTTTCACCATTTTCCTTTTGTTCAGATTCTTATACACCGAGAGAATATCATGACAAAGCCTCCAACCAAACACTTTGACTTTGTTGGGAATATTCGCCTTCCATAATCTGTTCCATGCTATGCCAGTGGACATGCTTCCATGCAGTCTGTCATCTTGGTCACTTTCCACATGCAGCCATCTATTAATTGTCGAATGATAACCACATCGCACACTGTAGGAGCTATTCTTGGAATAGTGCCATATCAACACATCTTGTAAGCCGAGTCTACTGATTGGTATAGCTCTGATGTCCTTACTTTAGGAGGAAATAAAAGTCCTAACTTCTCCAAGTCCCATTGCATCGTATGCTCATTCATTAAATCACTTACCTTAAGGTCAGGGTCAGTGATGTACCCTTTGGAGCTGGTATGAATCTTTCTGACGTTGGTATCCACTTATTTTTCCACACCCTTATATGTTGACCATTGGTAACTCTCCATCTCAATCCCTCTTTCAGCACCTTTTTCCTTGAATAAATGCAACGCCACGAGTACGACGGCTGGGAACCCAGTTTTGATGCAATAAGGAACGTGCTGTTCGAGAAGTATTTGGCCTTCAGAACTTTATAGACTAAGGAGGATGTGTTCAGCGTGAGTCTCCATCCCTGTTTGGCTATTAGAGCTTTATTAAACAGTTCCATAACTCTGAAGCCCATACCTCCATACCGTTTCCCTTTACACATTTGTTTCCAACTTATCCAGTGTATACCCCTACTAGCACCACTTTGTTTCCACCAATAGCTACACATGGCACAGCCTTTTTGAGAGAAGAAAGCATGACATTGCATATGAGGACATTGATTGCAAAACTGCCTTTGTATAGATCTCATTTCCACCTTGTGATATCCATCTCCAGCTCCAGCTTTTCGTTTCCAAAAATCCACCACCTCTTCTTGTGTTACCCCGATATTCTCCCAAGCCAATTTCTTCCATTTTGTTTTTTGAACCTGTCTTGTTCCCAAGTTCACCCTCCTGCCCATTATTTCCCCTCCCCTTAAATCCTCTCTCTCCCATTTAGCCTCTCTTGTCCATTCCTTCCGTTTGATTCATCCTCTCCTTAATTTTCTATCGTGACATACCCCGCTATCAGATGATTTGTTGTATCATCTTTCCTGCCAAGTTCATTCTCACTCTTGGCCATATCACCACTTCCATTCCATGATTTGACTTTAAAGTACTTACTAACTTATCAAATATTCCTTGTATTGGTACCTCACTTATTGCCCCTGATCCCACCTTACCACCAGTTTTAATGAGCTGATTTGTCCCTTCTAGATTATTTCTAGTGGCACCCATGCCCGCATGAAAATAACTGGATTTTAGATGTGGTATATCCTGTCTTCCTTATTCAGCTGGCCTGTAATCTCGCCATATATTGAGCCTCAATCAAATTTGTTATGGATAGTCCGGACCCATAATCTGTTTCCTTCCCCTTTTCCAGCATAGTTTCCTTATCCATATCGTCATCCATAGGCAGTTTCCTTGCATTACCCTTGCCGTGGATCGTCGCACCCTGCTGCCTCCACGGCTGAAACTACCCTTTTGAGAATGAGTTATCGTGTTTTCCATATTAATAATTTGACCTCATTTTCCGCCATTGTCCGGCAGCCAGTCGCCGTATTGCTTTACCAGTTGGTTATCGGTTTCTGATCCCTACGTTTCACATTCATCTTCAGTATAGCATCCCACATACATAGCAGAAAGTTGGTAACCTTTCGTAGCACAGTCTGCCCCATACATCTTTTCTCTCATTCCCAGATGCCATTAATACAGCTCTGCGTAGCGGTTTTGTTATATCAACCTCGACCCTCACACGCAGGAATCTTGACCAACCGCCCGTCTCAAGGCTAGCATCTACGGCTTTAAGAGAATCCACTTTCTCCCCAATACGTATGGCATTCTCCTGGTTTCTCATGCCAAGTGGTAAGCCATAGACACGCACCGAGAATAATGCTTTATTGAAAACTTAGTCTTCTAGTCTTAGATCCCCATTGAAATCTTGAAACAGTATCATCTTTTTATCAAAAGACCATGGTGAACCATCAATGATTCTTTTCTTGTCTGCCAGCGTTTGAATCTTAAAAAGAAAGAGATTTTCCTCTAGATCTAAAACTTCTACTGCATGGGCTAGCCTCGATATCACCTTCAAGGTCCCTTCATGGCCTCTTTGTTGACAGAGCGCTTTGTAAGTAGTTCCCTACTAGCCAATTTCTCTCAGCCTCAGCCATGACCCCCGTTTTTGATTTCTCTGACACAACCCTGTCTTTCTCTTCTTCTGTTAAGTTTAGATGTTTCCACAGCCCCTCAAGTTCATCCTCCATATTCCTGCTGCAACTGAAAGAAACCCCCTCCCTTTACTCTGGTCACAAAGACTAAATATGCATGCATACATGCATGTATATAAAATGCCTGTGAGGATAGTCTGCTGTGTTATCTGGTAAACTTACTTTAATTTAGATCATAAATACAGATCTAATGTGCTTGTCACTTTTTCCTGCATGCGTGGATGACATCATAGACTGCTGCAACATAATGTTAATTCCTATCTCCATGATTATGTATTTATTTGCGCTATGTACATGACATGATACTTGCAAAGCTAGTTCTTGGCAATCAGAAGATTATATTTTCCCAAACTCAAGCTATATTTATGACTTTGTCGACGAGAATGACCCATTATTGTTACAAGTATATTATTCTCGCCAATCAGAAGATTATCCTCTATCTTTATAATACCATGGTGGTCATAAAGTACTAAGCAGCTAGCTGGAGAAAAAACTTTAATCTAAATCCTGCTTACATATATTGGTTATCCTTAGTCTAACTTTGTTTTCTTTTGCATCTTTTTGTGGGAGGATAGTAGTAGCTGGATATTCCTTCTTTTGTTAAGAAAGGATACATAGCAGGGAAGAAAATATCAAAGAACAAGAGACCATCACGCTCGGTACTGCTCTCTGCTCCTATAATTACACCCTTTAAGGGAAGAAGACACATCTTTCTTTAGCTTTTATTTAAATGTTTTGAATAAATAAATTTTTTTATAATCTGCTTTGATGTTGAATTGCCATTTGCAATTGTCTTTGATTTTTTTCTTTTTTTTTGCCTGACATAAACGTTTCAATGGGGGTTTTGCCCACACTTGATTCTAGCAGCTTCTTTCCCACACTTGAGCAATCCTATTTTGCTTTATAGAGCTTAATTGTAATTTTAACGTTTTCTCTGTAATTGTAATTAAACTATCCATTTCTGTTTTCTAATATGTTTCATCGTTGTTTTTTGTGTTACTGTTTAGGCATGCTTTTGAAGATGGTTACCTCTAAGCTAGAAAGAAGGGAAAAGAACGCCTCTGCTGCTGATGGTGTTGTAATTTGAAGGACCCGGTTTGAGCCTATGGAAGGACGACTAAACTGAGTTCCAATTGGTGGCAGAGAGAACCACTAAACGTAGCAGTAGCAGTACCAGCAGTGGCCGTGGTGGTGAAGTATGTGGGGATGAGGGTCCAAGAAGGAACGGACAAGGGCTCAGTAAGGAGTTTTGTGAACTTCGTTGGAGCGAGGATTTGGAATGTTTGGGGCCAATGAAGAGGTGGGTTTAACTTCAGCCTTCTCCTCTCCATAAGAGAGAAAATTTTACTTATTTATTTATTTCAAGCACTTTTACATTGTAAAAATGGGTGGTTTAATCTTGAATCATCATGTTTTTGTTGTTCTTGAAGCAACCTTTTAATAAAGATTTTCTTGTTATCCACCATTTTCTAGCTACCATATTCGGATGAGTTATAAACTTATGATACGTGGAAACCAGGATAACAAATTGATCTTCTTTTGCACTGTAAAACAAATTTGTTTATTCTATTCTCTGTGTTTCTTACATTTTCCTTGTATTTTCCTTGGGATTTTCTGATCTTTTTATGCATGTCAATATTTTTGGGATTGAAATTGGATTCTGTTAAACGATTGGGAGGAGCAGGAATTCGGTTATCAAAACTTAGATGTGGTTAAAAAATGAAATGACAAACCACAAAGCAATACAGTATCTTGTAAAGCCAACTCTCACTCATTTTCCTCCCCCAGAGATCCAATCAGAACAAACAAAACTAAACTTTACCCTCAACTATGAAAGCATTCAACAATGAATATTCAAATCCACCTCACCAAGCAAAGATGCAGCAAACTGTTAATAAGAATGGCACTGTTAATAGCAAACATATATTCCAAGCATAAAAGATAATAATTAGCAGAAGTTTATCATGTATCTGTTAAATATGATCACAATGAATTCTCCAGAGAATAAACATGCTTAAAATTTTCAGATGCTTATCTGCAAACCTCCTCATTGTGTTAGCAAAGACGGATGATAGAAAATCTATTTGTGAATTAATTTAATCCATCTAAACCAAAACGAAAACAACTGCTAGGGTTCAGAGACCTGATAGCAAATTTTGATACTGTTCTACCAATGATAATGGATATATTTTCTAAGCCCTTTCATTTCAATCTCCAACTCATCCTTGTCCTACCAGCCTTCACAGTGTTTCTTTCTTACAGAAATACTGTCATTGGATTTCACTCCAAATGAACCAAGGGTGCCTTCAGTCATGTAGTTGGCCATTCATGTCATTGCTACATTGCCTTCTAAAACTCTTCTTCCGTCTATAAGGCTATAACTGATTTGATTTTCAATCCCATAACTCAAGAATTTAGTCATTCTCATAGCAGATTCATAGCTAATGCTAGTTAACATAAACACAAGCATCTCAGAGCAGCCCGAGGGAACTCACCCACACCTTCATGCCTCCAACTATTCCATTGTCATTCGTCACAGTGATAGTAACTAATAAAATTTTTCACACAAGCAAAGAGACTGAAAACATAAAAACAATGATTATGTTGCATAAACAAACATAAAAAAGTGGACTTCTTGTTCTTGTATTTCATTTCAGGGTCCACAAAAATCACTGCTTCCCAAGCGTTCTAAAAGAGTCTGCAGCTCTTTTGCTCTCACAACTACAATAAAACAGGGAAAGGTTTGATGTAAAGGAATGGGAAACGATAAAAACAAAGCAGAACAAAAACATTGGTATAATCTTGAGTGAGGAAGATGGTTTCAGTAAACTATCAAACATGTTCTTGAAGACAAACTAAACAACAGGAAAACCAACAGTTATGGGTCGGCTCAGACAGACACAACGACGGCAACAATCTTGCTATTCAGATAGATTGAGCTACAATTACTACACCATGAATTAGCAAATTTAGCAATAATACAATTCAATACACTCATCCCATTCACTCATACCCTGAGAATCTGGAGCTTGGTGGAGAAGGCAATGGCAACCCAATCAGGCTGGGAAGACGACCATTGTAACTGCTCGATTTCAGCCCCAGCAGTGTAGGCAAGAATGGGGTCAAGCCCGCCCTCCACAGGCTGACCCATGGAGGACAGGTCCCAAATCAAGGCCTGGGCATCATCCCCCGCGGTGCAAATGTGGCAGGAGCTGTGGGGAGCCCAGGCAATGGCATTGACGCTTGAATGGTGCCTCTGCAGCTCAACCACCGGCAGTGTTGGGAAGCGGATATCCAAAACAACCACCTTGGAACTATCCATAATGATGGTGGCCATGTACCTGGGGTCCTGCTTGTTCCACCCCAACCGGACAAGAGGCGTATCGGGCTCCGAGCTCTCATAAATGATGGTGGAGTGCTCTTTGTCACGCAAGTCGAAAACCCTAACGGAACCATCAGCAGAGACGGAAGCAAAAACACCAACGCCGCCCCAGGCGATATCATAAACCTCCTTGTCATGGGCGATAAGCTGGGTGTCCACAGTCTCCCGCTCTATATCCCATATAGTGCAAGTTGTGTCGATGGAGGAAGTGCCGATGCGCTTGGGCTCCGCTTCGTTCCAGTCGAAGGACGTAAGAGGGCCGCAGAACTCACTGTTCTTGTTGCCGTTAAGGACGGACTTAAGGTCGACGCGTGAATGGTCATCGGAGATGCGCCAAATCCGGAGGAAGTCGGAGGAGGTGGCGAGAAGGTCGGGTTTCTGACATTCCTTGTCGGGAATAAAGATGGTCTTGGTAGGGGGATAAGGGTGGTCGAAGGATAGATTCGGGTCGGAACGGATCTCGCCATTGGAGTCGTCCAGCTGGACGATCTCGAGCCGGTTTGGGAATTGCTCAAGCAGGCTGGCGATAGCAAGGCGGTACTTCTTGTCGCGGCGGACGCTCCAGTTCATGGCGTAGATGTGCCAGGGGGCCTCGTATGTATATATCTCGGATCGCTTCTGCTGCTCGTCAGAACCCTCCGGGTTGGGATCGCTGCTTGCGCCCATCTCCTGCCGCCACTGTCTTTCTTTTCTTGTTCCTAGCCGACACCACAGAAAGATTGGTTTAAATGAAGATCATAGAAGATAATGTGGTCCAATTTGCTTTCTGTTAGATGTGGACTTTTTTCGATAAAAGTTGGTATTTTTTTGTAGATATCATATATAATATTTATATTATAATATTCATCAAAATTTAATAAAAATGTTATTTTTTTTTATATCGACATATAAGATACTTTTTAATTTAAAAAAATTTATAAAAAATATATTTAAAAATTATTTAATTATTCAAAATTTTTAAATTTAAGTGAAAGATCAATTTAATTATTTTTAAATTGTTAGTAATAAAATTTGAGTAAAATACTAATTTTTTATATTTTAATATGATTATAAATTTTTAATTTGTATTTTATTATTATTTTTAATTAATTTTTTTTATTTTTTTAAATATATCTAAAAAAATCAAGTATAAGTCATCATCCTAATCCATTTGTAAAATATAAAAACTTCACCCTGAATAAAATAATTTTTTTAATATATTTTAAAAATATATATCACCCAACTAATATGTAAAATCTAAAAATTTTACTTACAACAAATTATATAATTCTTTTTTTTTTTTAATAAAAAAGTACTTAGATGTTATTTTACCTTTCTGTTTTACTGCCAATGGATACTATTTTGCCTTCTTGTTTAAGTAAGTCAAAGAAGTAAGATTTTTGAAGAGAATTAATAACAACTAGGTGAGTCAAATTAAAGAAGTATGATTTTTGAAGAAAATTAATAAATTATAGATGAATATTTGTGTGTTATTGCAGGTCAAAACTTTTTATTTTATCAATAAAAACATGAAGCTCAAACCATCTATTTCGGTAAGAACAATATAATTTTTTAATTTCGTATGTAAGATTTAAAAAATATAAATATATTATTCTATTTAAATTTGTTCATAAGTCAGACAGTTCGTCTAATTTTAAAAATTTATCTGAAAATTTAAAAAAATTTAGATATAAATATTAAACTATTTAAAAAAATCCGAATAAATAAATGAGATTTAATAAAAAAAATAATCGAATTTAAATTTTACTTTTTAAAGTTCGGATTTAACCTCATTTAAAAATTAAAAAATATTTTTATTATAATGAGATAAGACCCATTTATTTTAACTTTTATAATAGATAAGGCCATTTATTTTATTAGTTACAATAGGATAAAATTTAATTTTTCTTTATACAAAGTATTAAAATAATGATATAATTTTAAATTACATTCAATCAAATTAAATTAAATCTAAACTCAAATGACTTATAAATTTAATTAAAATTAATTAAATACTAATTTACAAAAAAATTATTTTTTTAAATTTTAAATATTAATATTTTAAGTAGATTTAAATTTTATTATTACATGTAAGAATAAACTTAAATAAAAAAGACCTGTAAAATCAGAGCGAACAAAACTTAAACTTACATAAAATGCTAAAATATCATATCAAACTCAACCCGACCCGAAACCCATGAGCAACTCTAATTCTATTAACTCTCACTATTGGCTTTCTCTGATCAAAAGACATGTCATGATGATCCCAAGGTTATCAATTTCCTGAAATTCTGATGAAGCTACCCAGTCTTATTCGTTCCTCAGGTACAAAACTATTGCATTAGTGTTGACTTGATGCCTGATCAAAGACTTGGCTTATGATTTTGCATGCAAAATTCTGTAAGCAATTTGAAACAAAACTCTGAAACTGCACGCAACCAATTTTATCCCACATCCAGATTTTCTAATAAAGTATTGTTAGAGAAAGAAGCAGGAAGAATCATGTTTATTGCGTTTTGATTGTCATAGTATCAACCATATACAAGTGATTTACAACATAAAAACAACATGAGTTTGTTGTCTCAAATCCAGAATCCAGGTCTATTCAGACATAAGGTTTAACACATGATTCCATATGGTACATCATTTGCTTCATGGAAGCATTATTCAGAAAACCAGCATGCACATGTAAGCTGGAGAACCCAACAGAGGAGGATTGAGCAAGAAATTTTATGCAAATGATGCAAGTGAATGCTGAGCACAACTGGTTGGCTACAAATAGAGGTGGTTTCCAGTCAAAAACAATCTTCATTGCACCAGCTGCTTGTCAAATTAGAGCTGGGAGACTCCAATAGTTGATGATGACACACATCTTGCCTGAACTGCTAATGTCTTAAGAACACCTCGGCATGGGTCACCTCCAAACCCGGAGTTTGAAACTTCAATAAAACAACTGTTTCTTCCCTCACAAGCCTGCAAAAGTTGGAAAAATAGTATTCAATGGAAAAAAGGGCAAAAACCTAAAATTATAGATATTTGAGCAGCATTCAACAGTAAAACGAGTTAACACTAGCAAAAATTTCATATGAATTTACAGAACTATTGTGAAAGAGTGTTTTCCTCCATGACAGTACCTTTTGTTCCTCAGACTGCTCTAGATTACTTAAAATATACAATAGAGGTTCCAACGATGAAAGGACCGCAGAAAAGGTGATTGACATATTAACTTTCCGGAAAACAAAAATAAATTATTTATATATATATCTGATGGACAAAGGTAGCTTAACGCTATGATTTTCCAGGGTTCCATTTGAGCCAGCAGTTGCACTAGTTCTGGAAGAGGCAGGGTCCACTTAAAAACCCAAGAAGTAGGTAAAGGGAAACTAATGCCTATTTCACTCAGTTCAATAAGTTGATCTACATTATTGAAGCTATCAGCACAGAAAAAGCTCCAAGAAAAATGTTTTCAAGGTACATAATGTATGTGTGCAAAACTACAAATGCATGCATATTGTCTCATTGATGAACTTAATAAAGCTTAGTAATAATACTAGCCATTTTTCAGCAGTTTCCATGTCTGGATATGTCTTCCTTTACTAGCTGTTAGGAGGAATGAATATGTATCTCTAATGAATATTGATGTATCTTAAAACGACTTCAACCAAAGTGGCCACATTAGCAGCAAGCGGAAACATCCAGCCAACCTCAGCATGGACACAATGTGTTTATATACTTCCAACTCTCTTTCACATTGTAATTATATATTTTTCAAGAAAATATTGATCAATTACCAGAACTTTTTAAACACATATAACTTTTTTTAGGTAAACATATATACCTTGGAGACCACAGACACTGAATTTGGTGAGTGACAATTGCCTTCAGAAAAGTTCTGGCAGCTGCCATGGGGAGTTCCGTAGCTAGCAAATTCTATGGAGGAGATTATATGCCCATCTTTGCACTGCAAGTGAACTTCTGGTCTCATATCATTTATGGAGACTTTTCCATCAATAACATCTGGATGGAGCCATTGCTGAAGAGGTTGATAGTGGGACTCAGACACTTGAGCACAGAGAATTCGTGGCACACGCAATTTGACTGAAATATCAAATGGGTTCCCACCAGTTTCTTCAAATATCACAAGTAAATTGTTTGATTCCTGTAACCATGACCGTGGTACATGGTACCTGGTGATTGACCAAGAGCAAATGCATCATAAGGTGGAAGTAAAATGCCATTTTCCACAGCAACAATCCAATTTTGAATGCAGATAAATGATTAGATATACATGCAAGGCACTCAAATAGTAAGACAACATTTCATAGTGTGATAAACATTATATTAGATAACTTTCCATTGATTTACATATACTTCCAATGGAAATAATACCAGGTTTGAGTAGGCTTCCCACAATTTGTCCTGCACTTATTTGAATTATATGCTCCACGGTAATCACAGGTTTCTGGACATCCATCTTTCGGGGCAACCAGATTCCAGTATCTTCCAATATGTTGGCTGTTGACCCAAGCTTGGCCCTTTCCCATGCTTCCTAAATCAAGAGCAACAGGTTCTGTCCCATCAGGAGTATCAAAGTATGCCTGCTTGCATCGAGGATAGAACAGATATATGTAAGTACACTTTTCTTCAAAGGAATAAAAATGAGGGGATATATGTCCTTTCTCAAAAATAAAAAGAAAATAAAAAAGAGATGATATACATTCAGGTACATGCAACAGGGGAACAAGTGTTCACCTCACCAGGAGCAAATTAGAAAAAGCAGGGTGCACCAAATTATATGCTACTAGTGAAAAACTTGTATATAAGAGACAAGCAGCGATGGTGGTTCCAATAATTTATTTTAAAAAACATGCTTTTCATTCCTCTCGTTTTTCGTTTCCCACCAAGGTAAGGTGATATTTCAAGCTGTTTTCTATCTTTCCTAAACTAGTTCAAAGAAGAATTTTTCTTCTTTCATTCCAATGCTAACTTTTGATCTTCACAGTTTTCCATCCTTCAGAAAAAGCTAAAACCTAAATGTCTATAATCAATTTAGGAGAAAAAGTCAAAAAGTCAGTAAAGTAGGATAACTGTAATACAGGAAGTAAGGAAGGAAAGAAAGGTTTCCACTATGGGGCTGGTTTGTGTTAGAGGAGCTATTTCAGAATGTGTTTCAGGAGCTAATGGCACAAAAATAGAAGACAAACAGACTACCTTTTAATTCTAAGCAAAAGCAGACTTAAGTCTTAGCACATTCCATCACAGAAAATGGAACATATTTTAATGGCCAATTTGGTATCCATGAATAAGAAAAACTTTCCTTTCAGGCCCAAAAAAAAAAATTGTAAGAAAAACCCATATTTCCAATTTATTGCTTCAAGGAGAGTTAAATGTCCAATAAATTGGATTAGCATGTAAGAATAAAAATGCTAATATAATTACAACTGTTCAAGGAATAGGTTTACCTTGTACCAAGTAAACGTGGAGGGAGTAGCATCAAGCTTCAATTCAGTCCATCCCGCCTTCTCATTTTCTTCTATGGTGAATATTTTCTGGAACTCACCCATCAGCCCAACCTAGAATCAAAATAATGCAACTTGTAACTCAATGTTTTCCTTAGTATTTTCTACCATCAAGAGAAAAAAGAACAAGAAACATCCAATTCATGAAATTCAGAGAAGATACTAACCACAATGAAGTTGTGCTATGAAAAGGTGACAGATATACAAATCAAAGTTAAGTTTAATGACCAAACATTGCCTACCGAGTTGCAACCATTTGAAATTAAAGATGTTCACATCCAAGACCATCCTTGAAACTTTGAGT